TCTGGATGTAGTTGCTGGAAATATCGCTGCTCCCTCCTGCCCTGAGAGACGGACAAGTAGGAAGGGAGGGTCTGTCCATCAAAGGGCTGGGGAAGGGAAGGTGTCGGTGAGAAAGTCCGATACTCCACGAAGGCCGGGAAGGGTACTAGAGAAAAAAAGCTTGCAAATATATGTGTTCCCATAGAAACTGCCTTTGCCAGGCCTGCTGGTACCTGGCACCGGATTGGGGCCCCTGCTCACCCCCTTATCTTCTGAGCCTGCATCTATGGCACCATGCTGTGTGGCTTCATTGATCCTTAGCTTGGGGTGAGGGCTAAAGCAAACTTGGATCAGCCCCGTTGGTGTGAGCAATTAGGAGTTAATGAACCCATTATTTCATGCAGTGTGAGTGGGAAGCTCCTCACCTTTGGATTTATAAGAATTAGGACCAGGCCCCCTTTTTATTGGCTCCATGATAACACTCAGATGTATATTCAGATGAGAAAGGAATTCCTTCAAAAAAATCAAAAACAACATTATCCACATCTTGATTCTGTTTCTGACCCTGTCAGAACCTTCGCTGTGTGATGTCGACCCGGTAAGGTTAAGGGACTAATTTTTAGGATGCAGAGACCAACAGTTAGGGAGTGTGAAGCTCACGTTCTTGGAAGACACTCATCCACTGCTGAAGTGGTCATGTTGCCACTGTTCCCCAAAAGGATGTTGAGAAGGCACACATATACCCTGAGTTCACAAACAGGAAGGAAATTCTATGTGGGGGGCAGGAGCATGCAGGCAGTTTCTCACTCTACCCTCTGATATCCCAGGGAGTACCCACAAAGCTGAGTCACACCCCGAATGTGCCAGATCCACAGCACTCAGCTGAGTTGGAAGAGCTGCTCTGAGATCTGGCTGCGTGGACCTGTGCCAGCGATGGCGCAGATGGGAGAGACTTTAGAGGCACGCACATCACATATATATTCAGTGAAAGAAAGGGAAGCCATTTTTACTCCCCTCTTCCCCATCCTTCCACCCTGAAATCTTCTGGAAGCAACAAAAAGCAAAACAAAGCAAANTACCACAGTTTAGAAGAACCCTGAACCCCTGAGTCTCCACTTGAAGAAGAGCCACCTTGACCTACATTGGACTGTCATGTGAGCAATAAATAAATCTTATTAGGCATAAACTGTTGCGATGTTGGGGTTGCTTGCTATCGAAGCATCATCTAGCCTACCCTGATGATTTCGCAAGCAAAGGGCCCACTGTATTTTAGGGATTGAGAGAAAGCCAATAGGGCCATAATACAGTAAGCAAGAGATGAGGTGAGAGAGGCAGGCAGATACCCAATCACAGAGTGTGTGGTAGGACTTATTAATATTTTTGGAGTTTTTTTCCTGTTTGAATTTAGAAGGAATGGAAGAAATTTAACAGGGGAATGATATAATTGGGGTAGTATTTTCAAAAGGTCCCTGTGGTTAGTGTTTGGAGACTGGGCTGGAGGGAGACCAGTCGGGAGGTTATCACGGTAGTCTGGGCAAAAGATGACAGTGGGTGTAGTGGATAGTGAAAGAAATGGAATGTTTCTAGATGTACATTTTGGACTTCATAAAGGATTGGATTTGGTGCGTGAGGGATAAAGGGGTATCTGAAATCAAAATTTCTCGCATGAGCAACTGGGTGGATGGAAGAGAATGGTGGTACCATTTAAGGAGATGGGTGAATTAAAGGAAAAGCACATGTCAGAGAGAATACCAAGAGTTTAATTTCGAAACATCTAATGCCGATATTAAGTAGCTATGTGGATATATGAGTCTGGAGCACTGCCTAGAGATTTAGGATAGAGGAATCATTGGCATATAGATGCTATTTGAGGCCAGATATGAATAAGATTACCTGGGGAGAGAACGTGCAGGAGCGAAGAGGGGCGCAGGACAGAAGTCTAAGGAATTCCATTGTGACATTGGAATGAAAGGTGGAGCCAGAGATGTAGGAGGAAAACCTGGAGAGTTTTGTTTCTTAGAAGCCAAAGTGTTTCAAGAAGGAGGGAGCGGTCAGCTATGTCACGTGCCCTGAGAGGTCGCGTAAAATGAGGCCTGGAAAGATCCCAAGAATTTTCCAACTTCGGTGCCATTGGTGACAATAGCCAAGGCAGTTTGGGTAGAGCAAATGGGAGGTGGAATCAAAACGGTGTGTGTGGACATCTTCTTCGAGGAGATTGCCTCTGAAGGAAGGATCCAGGGAGGTTTTTGTTGGTTTGTTTGTTTACTTTTTATTTTTAAACACTTTTAAAATTGCAGAAGAGTTGCAAAAACAGTACAGAATTTCCACTCAGCTTCCCCTCATGTTAATATGTTACATACCATAGTTTAATCATCAAAACTGAGAAATTAACACTAGTATATTATTAAATAAAGACCACAGATTTTACCATTTTTTTCACACACAAAAAAAATGGTTTCTATATTTTTCAATGGTTGAAAAAGAAAGAAAAGAAGGGTACACTGTGACACGTGAAAACTGTGAAATTGAAATTTCAGTGTCCATAAAGTTTCATTGGAACACAACCATGCCCTTTCTCTGTGCCAGGATCCAATCCAGGACCTCACATTATATTTCATTGTCATGGCTCCTTGGTCTCTCCCAATCTGTAGCAGTTCTTTAGTCTTGCCTTAACTTCATGACCTAAGCTCTTTGGAAAAATACTGGACAAGTATTTTGTAGAATGCCCTTTGATTTGGGTTTGCCTGATATTTTCTTGTGATTCAGTTGAAGTTGCACATTTTTTTGTCAAGAGTGCTGCAGAGGTGATATGCTCTTCATCAATTCATCTTATTAGGAGTATAAGAAGTTTATATTCTTAGTACTTGTGAGGTTAACCTTGAACACTTGGTTAAGGTGGTGTTTGCCGTGTTTCTCTACTCTAAAGTTATTATTTTCCCCATTGTAATTATTGAATCCTGGGAGGCCTGTGAAATACTTTTAGACTATGCAAATATCCTGTTTCTCCTTAGACTTTCACCCATTAATTTTAGCATCCAGTGGTGGAGATGGCCTACAGCAGTTATGACTGTGATATTCTAATGGTAATTTTCTATTTGATGATTTTTTTTAAGATTATAAATGCTGGAACATGTTTGGATGGTGATGAGATGGGTGGATGGGGAAGAGGCTGGAGAAACAATGAAGAGAATCTGAAAAATGGGTGGGGCTGGGAGCCTAAGCTGACTGAGAGGTTTACCTTTGATGGGAGGAGGCCCTGGGTCCTTCACCAAGAAAGGAGAGTGAGAGGAAGGGCTGGAGGCAGGCATGGACCAGCTTGTAGACTTGGGGGTAGCTTGGCCATCTCATCTCGGTATCCCTGGCATCTAGAATAGGTTCTAGCCCAAAGTGGACTGCCAGNGCCCGCCAGGCCCCGCCCCGGGCCCGCCCCCCGCGGCGACTGCCCAGCCCCGCGTCCCCCGGCCCGCGCGGGCACCCGCGTGCCCTCGGGGCGCGCCTCCGCGCCGGGCCTGGCCGGCAGAGGGCGGGGTCGCTCACCCGTCCGCAGCTCGTGCTTGACAGTGAGGAGCTGCTCTCGCCCGGCGCCTCCGTCCCCGCTGGTCCCCGCGGCGCCGCCGCCGCTGCCGCCCTCCTCCATCTTCTCCGTTTTCCGATCCCGCGGGGTTCTACGAGGGGACCAGAGAGACAGCGGACGCCCGGCCCCTCACAGCTCCCGCTGCAGCCCCAGGAGCCGCGGTGCAGCGGCTCCAGAACTCGGACGCAGAGACGAGTCTCTTTCCCGCTCTGGCCGCACGGCTCGCTTCTCCGCCTCCTTCCCCTACGGCGGGCACCGCTAGTACAGCGCAACCAAACCGCCCCCTGGTCAGCCGCCTCCTCCTTCAAGCCGCTCCGCCCACAGCCAGCAAGGTACAGGAGCCATTCGAGCCGCCATCGCTTATTGGGCACAGGGCGCGCGCATATGTCAACGCTGGCTTCCATTGGGCAATCCGCTCTGACGCTTCCCGAGCTACCCCGCCCCGCTCCTCGAATTGTTGTTGCTTGGCGGGGAGGCAGGAGAGGGAGGAGCGCGACCGATCCGATTGGTGAGAGCCGAGATTGTGCCCCGCCCACTGCCATTGATGCGCACGCGCAGTCAGGACCTTCCCTTCCCTGACCTCCCCAGAATGGTCACACCCCTATTCCCCAGCTTCAATCTGTTAGTAAACAGTGTCTAGTAGTCAGGAGGCTCTCGGGGTCTCTGATTGGCTAATGCTGAAAGGGCGGGGAGGGCTGATTTTAACGTTTGGTCTGCCAATCACCGTGGACAGAGGCGGGGCCTGGGGGGAAGTGCTTCTCACGCACGTGTTTGCAGACATACCCGAGGGTCTTAGCGATACACAGGTGTGTGACCAGCTGGAAGACAACGTATCTTTAAAAAGGTGCTGTTCACTCTAGTGAGCCATAAACAAGTGGATTTGTACTTAAATACAGGTAGTTCTTAGCAAAAATTCACAATCCCAGCTCTCCAGAATTTTTGCAAAGGATAGATGTTTCCATTTTGTACAAGACTCATCCTACACCAAAAAGATACAGAGATTAATAAAATAGAATACAATCCCGGCTCCTGAAAGGCTTCCGATAGAACGTGAGAAACAGACAATCTATGTGTACACACAGGAGACCGTAAAGCTGAATTTGAAATAAAAGTAGTCATTCAAAAGTGTTAGAGAATCGCGCAGATGGCAATAATTATTCTCCGTAGAGGAGCTGGGGGGAAAGCCTTTAGGGCAACAGGGCATTTGAAATAACCAACGTAAAGGATGGGTAAAATGGAAATACCAGAAGCAGACAGTTCATACAGAGATGGTAACTTTGAACATAGGCCTGGAGATGCAGGAGAGGATTGGATTCAGTGATAGATAAGGCTAGATAGAGTATGAAGTGAAAGACACCTCTAAAAGGGTAAGATGTGATAAGATAATGGAGAACCTTGACTACCATGCTAAGCATTGAAGATTTTATTTAGCTCAAGATGGGGAGCCTCAAAGACTACTTACAATATTGTTGGGACAGATTCCAAGAGCAGTTTCCAGGATCTCGGCCTCACGTGGAAAGGTGCTGTCTCNATAAATGTCTCTGAGTCCCCTGAACCCATCCCTGGCCCCAGGCTCTGCTGCCTCAGCCAGGCTGAGTGTCCTGGGACACAGCTTTTATTCCACTGTCTTCTGATCTAGAACTTGGGTGGCTTTTGGCTGCCTGTCAGCCACCCCTGCAACCCTGGTGTTCTGTTCCCTGATCTTCTACCTATGGAAATTGACCACGTCTCCCAAATCAAACCCTGGACTCCAGCAGGTCAATATCTATCATCTTATTCCCTTTACTCATTCCCATCTCTAGCTGCCCAGAGCCCTTTGCCCATTTCAAACTTTGCCTGTCCTTCACGGCAGACTCTTCCTTGAAGCCTTTCCTGAGGACTCCAGCCCATGCTCATTTCATTGATTATCCATATGACCAATTCAACAGTTGACCTCATGTGGACACATTCTTTACTATCACACTGGCCTGTGGACCTGTTCTTCTCAGCTGCAGGGTATTCAGGACAGAAAGTACCTCCTGCTTATTCCTATGCCCACTCCCCCACCTTGGTGCTTAAGATGGCACCAAACGCGTAGGAGATGTTCAATAAATTCTTGTTGATGGTTTGATTTCCATAGTGAGCTGAAATGCTTTGGTTTCTTTTAGTTTTGCTATGTGCTTGTGGTTTCTAACCTTCTCCAACCTGAAGACCTCATGAGGTGAGTGGTATTCTGAGTATTTCTAGATTGAGAAGGCACGTGATGATAAAGGGCTTTGCATGACTTGTCTTTTATTCATTCCCACAACGATTACACATATTTGAGAAATAGTCAAGCCTGTATGTGCGGGAGAGTGAGTAGCCACTGAGTACTGGCGAATGCTTGCGGAGCTCCTTGCGGTAACTGTACAGTGGAGAACCGTGGCACATGGCCCCCAGATGGGGAACCACCAGGATATGCATTCAACACAATCCTTGCAAGTACTTAGTGCAGGCGTCTTTACTCTGCTGCTATCAAACTCTGATGGCATGAAGATATTTTNACTAATCTCTCTTTCTAGCCAGGAAAATATAGACCTTAGACTTAGCTTCCAACAGACAACTATACCTAGCTAGAACTTACTCTCATTGTTTTGTTTTCATCGCATTTATTTTAATAGTTACTTCCCACTTATGGCAAGAGATACTGGCTTTTCATTTATGATAGTGGAATGTCTACTTTTTAAATAAGTCAAAACTGGGAATTGATTCAAAGAAGAATATTGATTATAATAGAGGTGATAGGCAGATGAGGCAAAATTGCAGGTGTGGTACCCAGATGGCTGAAATTTAGATTTGAGTAACAAGATCTAAGGACCCCACAGGAGAAACAGGTAGTGTTCTTGCAAAGAAATAGGATGAATGCAGAGAAGGTCAATATCAAGGAGAAACCAGGCTGATATTTATTTCTATTGCCTGTGACCTGGTCTCCTGGAAATGAGAGGGTAAAGGAGATGGAGAAGCAATTGGTTTATAACCTGAGAGCCTGACCTGAGAGGGCCTTGCTCGGGGCCTCAGTAGCTCCCTGCATACCCACACCTGAGAATCTCAGAGACGCTCTCTCATGGAGAAGAAACTAACAGATTCAGAAACACCAGAGTAAACCTGCCAACGTCCTTCCACTCCTTCCTGTGCTGTTCCTTAACAAAGAATTTTTTATCTCATTGGAGAAATTTCAAAATTATCTCTCTTAAAATAAAATCTCCAAGAGGAGGTTCAGGGGTACAAAGAAGGACTTATAGAGCAACAAAAGAGGGTAAAACTGAGTCGCAGCACTCAAAAAAGGAAAGCTGCTTTATAGTCAAACCAAAATAGAATGAACACAAGTAAAAACACAATGGAACAACAAGGAGAAGAACAAAGAAGTGTTAGAAATTATAAAAATTTGATAGTTGTGGGAAATAGACAATGGAGAGCCAAGATATGAGAAATTGGCATTCCTGAAGAAGCTCTCAGAACAAACGGAACAATAGAAGAAATTTAACTGAAAGGAAGCCTTGAGTCAGCAAGTAGAAAGCACATATTGTGTCGAGGTGAAATTCGTTCAGAGTAATCCATAATAAAATATACCAGATTTTAAAAAATCAAAAGTTGGGGCCGGCCGAATGGCGCGTTGGATAAGACCTGGCTTGGGATGCCAGAGGGCCCCNCTCTCCAAGATTAACTCATACAATTTCTAGTTTCTGTGTCAGCTTTAAAAAGCAGCCTTAAATCTCTAGAGGCAGAAAGTAGATGAACAGTTGCCTAGAACATGAAGTGGAAGGGGAGGTAAGTCGGGGGAAGTGGGGAGTGACTGTTAATGGGTACAGGGCTTTCTTTCCGGCGCGATGAAAATGTTCTAAAGTTGATGGTGGTGATGGTTGCACGACTCTGTGAATACACTAAAAATGATTGAATGGTATACTTTAAATAGGTAAATTGGGTTAGTTTGTGAACTATATTTCAGTTAAACTTTTTTTTTTAAAGCCTCATGTTTCCCTCCAAAAACAATTCAGCATTGCCAGTCCCCTGAAGACAAGCATGTAGACATATGTGCCTCGCCCTTACCCTCACCCCATCTCTCTCTACTTATCACTCAGGGACCAACTCAGAGCCACCCCCTCCGAATGTTCTGAATTACTCACTTAGTTCTTCTACCTCATACTATGTCGGCTGCATGCAGTGTGTGCTAACATATGTTTAACAACCAGCTCTCCAGAAGAGACAGAGAGAGAGAGAGAGAGAGAGAGAGAGAGAGAGAGAGAGAGAGAGAGAGAGAGAGAGAGAGAGAGAGAGAGACAGCCCTACTTTGTAGCATTTTCCGATTTCAGTGATATAAATACTCCCGTCATGGCCAGTGTCAAGCTACCAACCTGATGTCTGAACTCAGAGTTGGCAAGTGCCCAGAGCGCACCATTATATAACACTTCCACCATCTCTAGTTGTAAATAACCTCAAGAGTATCATAGAACATTGTAATACTATTAGGAAGTGATGAGTTTTGAGTGTGTATAAACTTTGTCTTTAATGAAATTTATTTTATTGTCAGTTTGTGTAGTTTAATTTTGAGTCACGGCTGCCTTTAACCACCGGCTCACAGAAAGCCCTGAAAAGTTGACTATCAGCTCCTATAAGCTCATCTGAGCCAGCTCCCGTGCCCCACCCATCTCATCCTGACCATGCCCGCCCTCTTGCTGAAAATACCTCATTTCTCAGAAGGNTTTAAATGAGTGTTATTTTAAGCTGCTAAATTTGTGGTCATTTGTTACGCAGCAATAGAAAACTAATCCAAGTAGTAAATGTTTTTCCTCCATGCCAGACTTACAGAGTTGGAATCATCACTGTCAATGTCATCATCATCCCAATGCCATCCTCACCCTGTTGCAGTTCCTTATTACTTCTGGCTCCGCAAAGCTCAAAATATCTCCAGAAGTCCCAAATGCTCTATGAAAAAAATGGGCCATTTTATGTAATCGCCGGAAGACTCCAATTGGGGATTAGACGTTTGTGGAGACTTTGAATCAGATTATTTATGCCTTTTGTACTAGTTGACTTTTTAAACAGCAACAGCAACAAAAAATTGGCTTTAAATGAATAGACATGTTGTGGCCAGGAAGTTAAAGATGAAGGGGAGAGGGTTGGGAAAGGGCTCGGGGTGGTGGATGGGAAAGCAATACCAACGGAGTCTGACTAGATAAAAGCAGTGAAAATACCCTCACCCCACCTGAGCTTTCTCCCAGTCCCATTCCTCAGAAACCATCATTTAAATTCTTTTACATATTTCTTCTGATGTTATCTCTGTGCCTTTAAATAATATGCTTCTATCACTATTGATTGATTTGTTTCATACCTCATCTGTTTTCCTCCTTACGTGATAAATGAGGATTAAACTCGTTTTCACCGGCATTCCC